TCACAGACTAACTTTCATTCAAAATAACAAGAAGTTTCTTTTTGATTCCGTGAACCATCATGATTTCAGGTAAAGACTGCTCATCCTTAAATAAGGTAATTAACTTGCTTATATAGGGTAAAATTCTACAAATTAATATGTGTAAATTTCATGCCAGTTCAGGCACTGGCATACCACAGGTACCAGATTGGTTCTACATGGCAATCCTCAATTATCCAATGTACCTTAGAAGGAAAACAATACTGTGAGTATAGTATCCAAAGGGCAAGAGTATAACCAGGACTTCACTCTTTACATGCAAATTATCCTAAATAAGCACTTCAGACTGAGATATACAGTAACGGAGAGGAGAGAAATGCTGAAATCCCCATTAGAAGCCCATTCCACTATCCGACAGCCCTCAGGAGAGCCATGACTATTTACCTCTCACCCAAACACTTCCTCTGACCTACATTAAGAGATATTAACTCTGAGTACAGTGTTGGGTCTTACTTCAACTACCATAGGAAATACAGTTTCACTTGCAGAAGCAACGCAATCATAAGAAGTGATATGTCACTTGAGGGAGACACAACTAGACCTGGAGAGGTAAAAGACAGATATGGCAAAGAGTTCCAAACTACTTACCAATACACTTTTTTTTCCTTTATAAAACAGTCTCAAGTAAGGACTTTAATATCATAGAGGGAATGAGGAGAAATGATGATGTTGTTTATGAGACTATCAGAAATCCTGCCACCAATAAAGGATAATGGGCTACTGGCCACCATGAGGTTCAACCAGAGCTTGGCTATGTCATAATCAGTTGGAAAGCAAGGTTCCAAAACCTGTACACATACTACTTTCAAGATCACACTACTAGTTCCATAAACAACTAATGAGTTAACCTTACTCCAGGAAACCCAGTTATTTTTATAAATATATATCTCCATTAGACATATATACTGTTTCTTTTCCATTAGGAAGTGAACAGTACATATATTAAGGAATTGTCTGTTAACCTTATAGTATTTTACCCCTCGGAGCCTTGTCAAGTATGTTTAGAATCATTATTGATGTCACCTTTTATCAGAGTTATTCAGAATATGATGCTTATACCACAGTATTTAAAAGAAAAGCAGCTATTAAACATGCTGTATATTTTCCTTTTTCACATAGATGCACACCTAACTGCATAGACTAGATGCAAGGAAACAGAAGCAGACATTTGTGTGTGTGTGTGTGTGTGTGTGTGTGTGTGTGTACATAGTTAGCTGCTGGAAAAGTCATGATGCATTTTTCTATAGAAAAACATTAAAAAAATACATCATGACATTTCCCAAGGAAAATATTCATATAAATATATAGAGATATATGTACTTATATATATTTAGAAAAAATATATGTGTATATTCAGAAACAATATATGTATATCCATATATGTTTAGAAAAATATATATACATCTATATTTAGCATTTTGTCCTTGGAAAGGTGTACTTGGTGTTATGAGAATGAGAGGGACAGACAAAAGGAAAGTGAAATATTATGCCCTACAGGGATGTCAATGTTATTATCCCTTCTCCATTCTACTCTTGGGGTTTTGGGTACACTAGCACACACATACCAGCATGTTTCATGTTTATTAAACCACCAGGCCTGGGCCACAAACCTTGAAGTCAGTAGTACCCGATTGGTTTAACGACCAGGCCACTACCTGGCTTGACAGTAGCAGATATTTCACTTTTGAAGAATTATTTCACAACTTAGAGCCTCCTGTTTCTACAGAACAATGACGCATAGACTCTGAATTTTTAAACATGGATAAAAAATATCCACAGACTGACAGGAACATAGAATACTCTAGCCAGGAAAGAATTTAGAGAATGTCTCAAAAAGCTTCCTGAGATGAGAAAGTACATTACTCAAGCCCTCCATGTAGTTTCCTTCTCAACAGTGCTAGCTGGCAACAGATACACTCCCAAACACAGGTAATGAGAAAATGGTAATGCAGTGAAAAGATAAGCCTAATTCAGACAAACTTTACATTCAGACATAAGTTTTCATTGGCAGTCTAAAGTAGGAACCACATTTGCATTCCTACAATCCGAGTCAAGTCAAAAAAAGGCAGTGGGGCCATTAAAAGCCTGACTGAGACAGTGCCCACACAATAGTAAAAACAAACTGCCAGGGACCAGAGTAATGGTTATGTTGCTGGACTCCCGCAGAGTCGAATGTGGTTCAAGTCCCAGACCCAGGGTCTTAAAACTGACACTGGGTGCATGTGCGTGTGTGCTCCCAAGAACGCAAGAGGAGAATAGAGGAGAATGGATTGTGGTATGGAGACCACCTCGGGTAGGTGATTTCTTGCTTTCTGTTTCTCAGTCTCTCCAGTGAATGCCCACTCCCAATGGAAAAAATTTCTCTCTTATAAAAACAAAAAGGGAAGAAATGAAACCATCAGAGACCCACTTCTCCTCCTGCCACCAAGCCTGACCCAGGCTACACACCTGGGATCTTTAACAGCATTACTGGATCCAGATGAGTAAACTTATCTCAGAAGGAGTACACTTGACAACCTAGTTTTATCCTAGATGATAAAAATATTTGAGAAAATAATAAATAGTAAAAGCTAGGGCACAGTGCCCCCCCCCCACCAAACACCTTTGGGAATAGGAATTCATTGCCACATATTCTGCCCACATGTTGAGCTAACCTGGAAAGCAGGTCATGCCCTTCCTCCAACAACCTTCAACCATACCACATCTCACACAGAGGTACCATGGCAGCCAGGGTAGACTATATATGGCAGTCACCCCACAGAGCCCTTTATGGGATTTAATACTGAAAGGAACCTCTATGGAGACCAAGTAATAGAAGGAGAGCTACACAGCTGCCAGAGAAATGACAGAAGTTGTGAGCTGAAGTTTCCTGGGAACCCTGGTGTCTAAGGCCACCCTTATACAGAGGGGGCAGCACCACTTGGAGTAGTGTCTATGGAGGCTCTGCAGGCCAGGGCTCTAAAATCTATGGTACACAGCCATAAACCCATGGGTACATATGACATGGAATTTAATAGTTTGAGGAATTCACCCCGGAGTCTTTGTCCTGCTATCCGGATTAAAATCTGTAAAATTTCAGTCAAACCACATTTACCCCTTTTCAGGGTTGATAAACCGAAAGCCCCATATTACAGAGTGCTCAATATGTGCAACATGTTTTACAAAAATCTGTCCACCATGAAGATTAGAAAGGCTCTATCTACCTTGAAGAATTTGATTTACTTTGAGAAACATATATGAGGCTCAATTCTGAGGGACCTGGACACACTTCTTAAAGCAAATTAATGACCGAAATACATGAAACAAAGTGAAATACAGAATGGTCACCCAGCAAAATCATCTGGTCTTCCATTACATATGGTACTCATGTAAGTTTTTCCTACTACTTTAAATTTGAGGGAAAAGTGTTTAGGATAAAGCACATATTTTTTATGCTTAATTTTTGCATAGGACACTGAACTCAGAGAATTGCGATCTTTAGAGAAATCAAGATGCTTCCATCAACTTGTAAGAATAGATAATTTTTTGTTCCTGGAGGATGTATTGAAGTTTCCAAATTGTAAAGTGAAACCAGTGGCTATCAAAAAACAAGGTGCCCATTCACCAGTACTAGAGACCAGAAGAGAAGAGTGCAAGTGTGTCTATAAAAGCAGGGACAGTGTACTTCACTGCCCCAGGAGAGACCATTTCCCTCCTATGATCCCTGGGATATTCCACTTTGAAAGGCACAAGTTAAGTCAGCACACAAAGAAACAGAAAGAGCCTAGCCCAGATGGCTTTGCACATATATTTTCAACAGAAACACAACAGGGTACTTGTGGTCCCTCACTTATATGGAGGTAATAGATCAAGCTCACATGAACAAAGCTTCCTTCAGAAAAGCAAGGTCACACTGAGAATTTATCAGGATCTATTGGGTCATGAGAAATTCATGGTGTATTTTTCTGTTTTTTTTTCCCCCCTGCAAAAATGTGTCATGACTTTTCTGATATCCTAAAACATTAGAACATTAGAGCTGAGTGTGTGGAGAGAAGACTCAGGCTGGAGCACATTGTGAATGTTGAGCTTTAGTGCCTAGTCCTGGGTGTCATCCAAGATGAGCTTGTTCTTCATAAGGAGACACAGTGAGCCAGCAGGTGACAAGGTGGTTAGGTGGCAAGATCTCCCTTGGCTGACTGCAGTTTGAAATTCATCATTGTCTTCAAAAACACACTAGTTTCGTGTGTGTGCATGTCCAATTCACAGATAAGATTAGAGAGAAAAGGATGCAACATGACTATCACCCTGAGAGGTGCTTTCCCAACTTCCCTGTCTCTCCTCTCTCCTCTCTCTTTTTCTCTCTCTGACTGTCTCAGTCTAGAATACACGCCCAAAGCAAAATTCAAGATAACATTAGCAGTGGTTCAATAATTTAATTAAATGAAATACCTTATGTCCCTAATAATCTCTCTCTGTGTATAACACCATTTTCTCAAAGCAGGATATGTCCCAGAGCCGTCACATTTGGTATCAGCTCAGTGAGACTCAGTTCCATAAGATGTTGAAACATTTTATGTTTGAAACCTTCTTACAACTTCCTGAGAAGTAAAAAAGTACATTCCTAAAGAAACTGCATGTACACTAATACCCAGTAAGTTCCGTCTTACTTTTCAGGAGTATCTCAGGATATCCCAGCTGTCAAATCACAGACCCACCAATTTCCAACCCCCAAATACAGAGAAAGAACAGCACCATATTAAAAACTATGATATGTTAAGAACACTACTGACAGCGTTAGTGCTGATCGGAAGTTCCTTTCTCTTCTCAAATGTATTTGAATTCTTAATAAGGACTCTGATCATACTGAGGAAGCAGTCGTGGGCACTAAATCTGGGACACATAGTCAGGACCAGCCAGACATACACAAAGTGATAAAGAAAACCAAATTGTCCTGCTTTCTCTTTTATCTCCCCATACGCAATATGTTGTACTACCTGCCCCAGCTGTCAGTCACCTCAGTCAGCAATGGTACAATCCAGTAATGAAGGGTTCAGTAAAAATGCTAACAGAATGGCTTTTCTGGTCTTTTAGACTTACTAAAATAGAAGGGAGGTTTGGAACAGAAGATGTATGAGAAATCTCTGAACTATACCTTCCTATAGTTTTAACGTGATCCTAAAATTAAGAGAAAAAAGGAGAAGTCACATAAATAATGAGGAATACATCTCCATCTAGGAAAAACCCATTGAGATTCAAATGAAGAATGCTATCAGGGTGGAATTCTGGACATTGCATTGAGACTTTAAAGTAATTAAGAGCCCATTTCTCAACCAGCACATCCCTCCCTCCCCAAGATATGAACGCTAACAAAGATGCGTGCTAAAAATGTGCTCAGCATACATGCTGTCACACCAAGCAGACCCATAAATATCCCCACCCTCACACAGCTCAACCTTTCCTAGCTTCCATGAGCATAAAATATGGGGTTATTTCAGGCCCCCTCTTTGTAAACAGCCATCTTGGGCTTTAAACTAATGATGATAACTATGCACTAAGAAGTCTGGGTATTTCTGTAATAAAAACACTTAACAGAATGTTTTGGGAAAAGTATTGGTGCAAGAGAAGCTGGGGGCAGTTATCTAACTTAAGGGTCCTTGCTTGAGCAACTTAATGTTTCAAACAAAAGGGCAAATTACTTTATTTTTACTTTAAATTTGAACTTTCTGCCATAAGACATTTTTTCCGTTTTTTCTTTTAAATTTTGTCTAGGGAACATGAGCTTATTGGAAAGAAAGACTGAGAGAAAAGGGAGAGAAACTGAGGAAGTAACACACATGGGATTGTTCATGCCATGAATTTTCTCTTCTATCTCTTTACTTTTGTTTCATTTGAATTTTCTGGCAGAAGATGTTTTTCTGTTTGTTTGTTTGTTTGTTTTTAAATATTTGCCTAGGACACATGTGCTGGTTGAAAAGAAAGGAAAGAGAATTCCTGGGAGGTTAATGGACATTGCATTACACAATCAAAAAAAGGATTCTATTAACTCCACGTGCTTATCTCAACCCGACCATGCAACACAGATGGTTATCAAATATAGAATTTTTACCTGAAACTCACGATCGATGATTCAAACCCAATATATATGAGGCAGAGAATATCTGAGACTCATTGTGTCTCTGAATCAACCAGGACCAAAGAGCGTTCCGTCCTTCCATGAGGAATCCAGCAATGACCTCCCTGTTAACAAGTAAGTGAAGGAAATCTATAGGCCTAGAATCACCTGTTTGAGAGAGGGGTGTGTAATTCTCCGCTAGTAGTGAAAAGGAGGGTGGGTAAGTGTCAAAGAGCTAGAAGGAGCGCCTTGTTGTACATATACAGCCCAAGCCCTAATGACTCTCACTATTCCTCCCTTGAATACAGTCACCGTAGGTCCCATCCTCCTGGGGATGCTCATGGCGATGGCTACTGCTGAAACCACCACCACAAGCCCAGAGAAAACTCAAGGACTCATTAACTATCTTCTTGTCGAGATCAATAACCTGAAACAGGAGGTGAGCAGGCTTGGTGATAGGATAGGAAAGTAGAGCCTATGTGGGCATTTATTCTCCTGACCCCTGGATGTTCCGAGCAGTCCTGCATTTAGAAGTCTTGGCTGCTTTCAGGGACACCTTACATTTATACCTTACAAACAGGTAGGTATGTTTCTCTTCACTGTTGTACTCAGGAAGTTTCTTTTCTTTGATAAATGTAAAATGGAGCTGTGATGCAAGCCCCCTGGGTATTTTAGCACCTTATCAGGTGTGATCTGAGGATCATTGCTTCTCCAGGTTCACCTTCTCAAATCAAGAATAAGGTTTGTAAACTTTTTTTATTCATTCAGAGTTTGGGGAGAATGAGAAAAGTGCCACCTAAAATAAGCCTTCCATTTCTCAGGGCATATACATTACCTTACAGTTATGTAAATTCAGCAGTTAGGTCTCCCCTAAGTCATTCCCCCTAATATGTAGATTCGTTTAGAGGTCTCCAAATGGCAAAACCATAGTAGGTTATTGCATGTACCAACTCAAAATTCAAGGTTTTTGGACTCAGTTTGGTAGAAGCAAAAGAACACAAGAAAGGCGATTGGGTGCCAGGGCTGTAGAACAGTTACTATAGGAGTACCTTGGTGTTCTCTGGAATTTTATATACAAATATAGACTCCATCTGTAGAATTGTGGAGTTAGATCAGATGATCTCAAAGTTCCTTCCAGATAGAGCGTTTACGGCTGCAAAATTTTCTCCCAATTAAGCATTAATTGCTGTCATACATAAATTATCTACCATATGCAAACAATTTATGCAAATATGATGTTGAAACAAAACAGAAATTAACCAAGGAATGTTTTTCATGTTATCCAATTTAAGGTAAAGGAATTGTGACTCGGGGTAAATAAAAGCATGGAGTCACAAGTGAACCTGGGATGAAACACAAGAATACTACGCTCCACTAGATTTGTCTTAGATGGATGCCAATGGGTTATGAATTCATTTTTCCTAAGCTTTTCTGCCTCTGGTAGAACATGAATTGATCCTGGAGTGGGTCTTGCTTTAGGGACACTAATATGATAAGAATTCTGGTGTTCTCTTCCAGTTCGATGAGCCAACTGATGTGTGCAAAAGCGAAGTGGCACTGTCAGAAAACAAAATGAATGTTCCAAAAATTACTGAGCAGGACAAATGTTTACACACTACATTTGATAAGGTATGAACTCCTCCCATTCCTTTTCACTATGCCATAACAGAAAGTTCTCCCTTGTGTACGCAATTTCTGTTACAGACATAGGGACCCAGGCAGGCAACAAAGAGTAGATAGAAGTATCAAAAGGCATGTAAATTTCACAATGAAGCCTACCCGATGTTTTTAAAAGGTGGTTCATTCTAGGAAATACATGTCCAGAGATGTCCCTATTTGTTGGGATTTTTCATAACTGTCAAATTCTAGAAACCCCTGCAGGTTCCTAGCTCTTCCTGTGCGAAACTATCAAGACACCTTTCTCCTCTTTAGCTCCTCTGAATAGATCCAGATGTGTCCACTCTACAAAGGTCATAGTCCCCACAGAGGGCAAGATGATTTGAACTCATGACTGATTTTCTAAAAAAGAAGAATCAGTCCAACATTGATAAGGAGTGAAATACAGAAAAGGCATCAATGAGTGACTCAGAGAAGGATCTTCTTGCCACATTCTAGTATCTATTGGGTTATGAATAATATTAAGTAAGTGCTTTCTCTGACTGCCCACATATCTAAAATGGTGCTGTCTTACATCATGCTGAAGAGGTACTTGCTGTTTCCTATAGAGGCAGAGGAAGAAGGTGTTCATGTATAGGAATTTAACTTTTAAATTGGATTCTATTTTCTAGTAATACCTACTTTTCTACCATCATTCTTAGGAGACTTGCCTGCGGAGAATCAGTACTGGTCTTTTGGAGTTTCAGGTGTACGTGAAATACCTTCACAGAAATTTTAATGATAAGGCAAGCTCTAAAGCTCTGCCAGTAGGTACCAGAGTCCTCTTTGACATACTTCACAAAAAGGTGAATATTTCCTCATTTCATCCCTAGGTATAGAGAAGACAGGCTATAGGAAGCAGCCTGGACAAGTTAGAAGTGGAATGCTGCTTCAAAATGAAAGTTACACATTCATGAAAGGGTCTGGGAAATATCTTCTGTTAGTTAAAACATTTGTTATTGGTTTGGGTTTTGGATCTCTTCTGCAAATTACTTTTTTTTTTTGAGAGGTTTTTGCTATAGGGTGTGTGCGCTCGCCAGAGAGACAGAGAGATAGAAAGCAAGAAATCACCCCCCAGAGGGGATGGCCACACCGCAATCCCTTCTCCTCCATTCTCCTCTCGGGATCTTGGGCACACATACACATGCGTCTGGTTTGGGTTTGGGACGCAAACCGCAGTTGGCTACATGGGAGTCCAGCAACATAGCCATTATGCTAATTGCTGGTCCCTTCTACAAATTACTTTTATAACTGTATTTAAAGCCATTAAGAGATGTGGATTTTAGTATCAAATTAAGAAAATATATATCCAGAATGATTGCTCATTTACAGGAGGGAGGCAGCCCCTACGAAAATTATTCTTGCTGTAATACTTTTCACGCATTAATCTTTCCCATCATGATGTTGGGATATTCACACACATGTGCTTGGCTTGTTTTTCAAGCTGCAGTGTCTGGGAATTGAACTACAGAATTAATAATGTGGTATCCAGCCACTTTAACTTCTATACCATGGCTGGTAAGAGAATATGAATTTTTTAATTACTACAAGTGACATTTCCATCATTAAGATTGCTTCAACACTTTTTCTTACTTTTATTTTTTTTAAGTACAGTATTATTGCAGAGATATGGTCAAAGACTACAGGCTGGTTGAGAAGGTACCAAGGGTTTTGTCCCCAAGAGCTAGATATTCAAATAGCAGAGAGTGGAGGGTTGAGTGGCAGTGTGTGAATGAGACAAACAAAGTGCAAGGAGATGGAATATGGAATGAAAACTGTAGTGTTATTTCTGCATCTGCCATTTCTAGTGGTTTTCCTAAGCCAGGATGTCTAAGGCTTTTTTATGAACAGCATTCCCACTGGGATCTTGCTGTGATGGCCAGTCTGTTGCAACAAGGCTAAAATTTTCTTTTCTAAAAGGCTCCATAATGATGCCAATGTTGTAGATACTTGGAGGTGCAATGCCTTCCATAATTATTTATACCTATAGTCTTAGATCTCCAGAAAGGATTTCCCATCCTATATACATCATGAGATTAGCAGACTCCAAACAACTAATAGATGGCAAAGGTTTATTGGAGAAAGTATTCTACTGAGAGGCCTCAGAAAAAGCCTTTAAAGTGACTAGAGCTACGGGTTGTTTATTTATCTATTGAATTTCTATTATGCCAAGCACTGATTCAGAAAGTGAAGTAAAAAATAGGTAATACAGTAGATGCTTAGTGTGTCATGTGTGACAGTGCAGAAGACAAGTGGTTAGAATTCAGTTGCTGTGAAAGGGCCCTAACCAGTGTGGGCTGGATCAGCATGACCTATCCTTCCTGAGCCAGTGAGAACAGTAGCCCCCATCATATCAGTCAGCCAGATTTGAACATCTCCCTACCACCTAGAACACCCATGCCCTACAAAGGAATTTTTTCTATAGGTGAACAATCTTTTTGCTTTCTTTCCCATCAGGTATCTTGTCCATGTGAAATAACTGGCCCTGCCCCAGAGGTAACTGCCAGCATAGAAGAAAAGCTAGATGCATTGACTGGGTGGGAGAAGAAAACTGCCATGCGTCTTATCCTGTGTGACCTTCAAGAATTCCTGCAGTACACCCTGAGGGTTGCTCACGTTGTTTAGGGCTTGCCACTCAGATTGCTGTATGTCAAGGCCATTCCTTCTTGTGATCAGAAACCTGTCTTCTAAAAATAAAATTGATGACATTAAAATGCTATTAATATGTTGATATTTGAATGGGAGAAATTGTGTTAATTTACTGACGTGAGTGAGTTTCACATAGTGCCTCTTGAAATATTTTATTTGCAAGTATTTAAATAATAATGAAAAGTGGGAATTCAGTACAAATATCATCTGTTTCAGACTAGTCACTCTTGGAATGTGCAGACCTACTTGAAATTAATTCTTACCTCCTATGTATTTTTTAACAAAATACTAACACTGCTTTTCTTAAGTGTTTAAATAATTTCTATGACAATAAATCCCATTTAAAGAGTAAGCAATGAAGCCTGTGTAGGAAATGTACTGTTTACCATAGATAGGTTGTCAGTATAATCATTAAAAAAAAGAAAAGAAAAAAACTATAATCACTTGAAGAAAAGATCAGAAACCCATGTGTACTAAACACCATGCTCATGTGTTACATCCAAAATATTATACAATCCAAGCACTTACATATTCTTTTCTGCATATGTGGCAATAAGTGATTCACATAGTTTCCTGGAAGATAAGATATAAGCTTAGACTTGAAATGCAAGACTACCTGCCTCCATATACCATAATCTTAATGTTAAGATATTGTCTGCCAGAGAACTGGAAGATGATATAGACAATTCCAAATCGTGTTAATAGCAGCATTACATTTCAAGATGTACTTAAAGCCTTTGAAATCATACAATCATGTGTATAAAACACAGGGAAGTTTCAGCTTCCAAATATAATAATAAATACTCTTCAGCCACCTCCTCTAAGTTCCTCAAATGCTGTACATTCCTCTCTGTGACAGTGCTTCCTACCATGTATAACATCTTAGAACTGGTAGAATTGTCATTCCAGTCAGCATGTGGATTTCTCAAGAGGGCAGAGTCTAGTCGATTCTTCTTTGTGTGCTGAGTCCAAGGACCAGGACTTGAAGAAAACTTGCCCTAGGTAATGTAAATTGAATGAAGAAAGCTTATGTAGATGAACAATTATAAGCTACTTCATCCTTCAGGAATTTTATTTTAGATGAGACTGCCCATTCTGTGCAGTTATGTATCTCCTTCTAAAAGAAAACTAGCAAGAATTAGAAAGAAACATTCAAAGAATTCCTAGAGGAGCCTATGAAAATCGAGGGCATTGACATCTACCTGATTTCCTATCCTGGCAATATTCTTTATCGGCCCTCTGCTCTCTCATCAAGAATGGTGTAGAGCAAGGGAATTTGTACACTTTAACATGATCCTGCCTTTCCATTTCATTGCAGCACTGATACTTGATGCAGTTTCCCTTTCTAATACTGGCAACATGAAATTTCTGTCTGCTAAGAAAGCTGTTCACAGCCTAACCAGCATAGACTTCTCCCTCTAAGGAAGGTGTTCTGTAGGAGAGGGAAAGTCCACAAGAACAAGAACTGAAAGGGCCTGAGCAACAGAAGCCCCACATAAACAGATTTCAAAAACCACATATTGCAAGTGGGCTCTCCCATAGAAGGATCAAACCTAAGAATGAAGACAAACAGCTGTAAATTAGCACTCTGCAGACAAAAATGTGTTGAGCACCACATATAAGTCAGGGAATGTGTGTTATGATGAGCTTAACAAGATAGACACAGTCTCTGCCCTCCTGTGTTTATACCATGCTAGAAAAAAGACATAGAAGAGAGTGTTATGTGCTGTAAATGTTACAAAAGAGAAATTGAGGGAAAATTGAGAACCTATACTGGAAGGATAGACAGGAGTGGCACTTCATAATTCCTGGGGATCGAATCAAGGATGCTTCCATGAGAAAGAAAGTTGAGACTGAGATGTGAATGACATGTAGGCATCAGCCAGTCAATTGGGAGGGGAGAGTTTCAGACACAGGGATTAGCAATAATATATTCAGATTGAAAGACCTGAATGGACTAGAGTCATTCTAGAGTTGACATATTGAACACTTCATTAGGGCCAGAAAGCAAGAAGGAGGGTGGTTGAATAGGGTGGAGCAGGAGGATGGAGCAAGATCATTTACAGCATCATAAGCCATTTTTAAAATTTTAGAATTTCTCTTTCGTGTGGTGAGACGGTATTAGCACTTTTTTAAGAATTTTTTTTTACTTTATTCATTCATTTATTTATTTGAATTTGACTAGAGAGGGACAGAGTGTGTGTGTGAAAGAGAAGAGAGAGTAAGAAAGTGAGAAAGTAGACTGCTAGGACTGGAACTCAAACCACAGGTGGCCATGTAAGAGTCCAGTGCCCTCAAACACCATGCTACCTGCCGGCCCCAGAATTGACACATTTTAAGCAGTAGAATGGCAGAGCAGACATACTGTTCTTACACTTGCTCAAGCTGTAGTGTGAAGAATAGATGAGAATGAGACTGAAAGAAGTAGTTACAGGAACTTTCCAGAGGCCTTCATTTGAGTCTAGGAGATAGCTGACAATTTTCTAAATATGGTGGTAGCAACGAGAAGAGCATAGAAGGCAATGGCAGGGACCAGCAGTTAGCGTAATGGCTATGTCGCTGGACTCCCATGTAGTTGACCACCGTTCGTGTCCCGGACCCGGTGGATTAAAACTCACGCCGGGTGCGTGTGCGTGCGTGCCCACGATCCCGAGAGGAGAATGGGGGAGAAGGGATTGTGATGTGGCCATCCCCCATGGGGGGTGATTTCTCGCTTTCTATCTCTCTGTCTGTCTGGCGAGTGCACACACCCTGTAGCAAAAAA